ACAATTAAAAATATTTTATTTAGGTCTATCTATGGCCTTCAAAAAGTTGATGACTCTACATGTTTCGATGTTACAACATGTAGAGACATCAACTTTTTGAAGGCCATAGATAGGCCTAAATAAAATGTTTTTAATTGTGTACCAGTTTAACGTGGAATATTTTTTATGATTTTAGTTACATTATAGTTCAGTTATATTGGAGAATTTTGAAAATAAAGCAAACAAAATTTCAAATTAAAGATAATTTGACTTTATTTTTGCATATTTATGATTTGAAAAGCTTTATCTAACATCTTAACATTTAATTCCAGGTTCTCTTTCTGATAATTTAAAACTTTTTTTCAAAAAGAACCAGGAAGCTTTTGATTGTTAAATATTTTTTAGAACTTTTCAATGTGGCTGGAATTGTAACCAAGTAGTTTATTAGAAGACATGAGTTTAGAGCTTAAAGCTGTGTGTTTGAGAAAAATGATAAGTTTAAGCCAGTAGTGTGTTACAGAATAAGGGAAAACTTGGAAATGTATCAGATACTTTGGGACAGTGAAATGAACATATGGGGAAATGGTCATTGACTGCTTGGACATCAAAATATTAAATGCAATTTTATGGCAATCTATGTAAGAAATTTGAATATGAATTTGAAGTTTGTATCTATCTAAGTGTCCATTTATGCATGTGCAACAACTTTTACAGAGTTACATGTCAGAGCTTAATAACCTCCAAGAGAACTAGTATGTAGCAAAAACAACTTAGATTATTATTTACTTTTATCATGAAAATTTTTAATCACAGAGCGGGTCATTAGTATACATCTTGTTCATTTTCCTACTGTAGATTCAGTATAGCAGTAAGAGTTTCTCTAATTTATTAATACGGAACAGAATTATGCAAATTTATTTTTGAGTTGTAGATTAAAGACTAACAAGATTAAATCTTATTTATATTTCTGTAATAGATTTAAAATTGATTCTTTATATACTTGGTGGCCCTATTTGAGAGAAAAGTCCAGTATTATTATTATTTTTTTTATCTGTTTTGTTTTAGGGTGTAATGGGGATAATTTTATTTAAAGCTATTGACAACAAAATCAGTATTCACTCATGGTAAAAAAGGACATGTTGAATGGTTTTATAAAATCACTCCTGGTGTCATAAAATGTAAGTTTTTTTCCATCTTGTTTAATGTTATTTGATACTAAACTAAATTTTCATATTACCATTTACTTAGGTACAAAGCCTGTAGTTGATCAAGATGAGTTTGAGGACTTATTAGGATCACAAGGATTTTCAGGATTTGGCAGAAAAGAGGTTGGACCAAAAACAATAGCTGATATGAGAAGAGAAATTTTAACTAAAGAAATGGATCCTGAAAAACTAAAGGTTTGTAACAATTTCTAAGGCCAGTACAGAATATAGTATGATGGAATTCTTCTAGTTGAGTAATGCAATGTTTGTTTAGTAAGATACCAAGTCAAGATTAATTGGTTAAACTTATTATAATTTTATTGACTCACCTTTCACTGTAAAATAATGTTAAGCATGGAAAATTATATATGGGATTTTCATAAAGATTTAAATTTCATTATCATATGTTTCCAAGTTTATTCTGCAAGTATGAGTTGATTTTCTTTGTAAAGGTTTTAGACTGGACACAAAGAAAAGAAAGGAACATCCGAGCTCTCTTGTGTTCTCTTCACACGGTGTTATGGGACAGTGCTCGTTGGCAAGAGGTTGGCATGCACCAACTAGTGACAGCAGCAGATGTGAAGAAGTTTTATCGAAAAGCTTGTCTAGCAGTACATCCTGATAAAGTGAGTCTTCTGTTTTGCTTTTGAAATAAAATGAATTGTTTTCAAAGACACCTAAGATAAGTTGTAATTTATTTGTTTTCCACATATCATGTTTATTATAGAAGTCCAATAGTGATGCTGCCTTGAGTACATGCAACTACACTGATGTATATATACAAAAGTACTTGAGAATACAAACCATAAACCTAACATTAGGAATACAGTGGATGTAATTCATGCTAATGATGTGTTAGTTTGTTTAGAATCTTATTTCTTTAGACCAGTGGTTTCCAAACTTGTGTGTCGTGGCAAGTTGCTAGGGGTGTTGCAAGAGTTTCACCAAATGAGGAATAATTAAAAACATAAAAAACTACAAAAAATATTGCATGTGGCAACAGGTGTGTCGTGCAAGTTCAGTTAAATGGGAAAGGTTGTTGTCAGTGCAAAAACTTGTGGAAACCACTGCTTTAGAAAGTGTTAATGAAAATGGCAACAAACCTTGTGGACAATAATGTCTTGTTAAAAGTACTGAGTAATCTTGCCATTGCAATATTTCTGTCTGTATTTTATTGTAAATGTTTTAAACATGAAATAAAAACAATGATAGCTGTAAAGATCAGAATAAAATTTGAGACTTATCATCGTGCAGTTAAACTACAGCCTAAAATTGAAATTGGAAGGCAATAAAGTTATAATTGGAAAAATGAGAGAAAATTTGATACAGTACCATTAAAGTAAAATACAGCTTTAATGTTATAATTCATAATGTGTTCTTCAGTCCAAAACTATAATTGGAAATGATATAACCTTACATTAGTAGCATAACTATAACATTTATTTTATTTCTATTTACGAATACAGAATTATAGAAGATTAAAATTATTTTGGTATTTCATTTAGTACCTATGTAATTTATAGCTATTTTAATAAATATTGTATTTTCAAAGAAATTGTATTCATTGTCATGGTTAATAATTTATACCTAAATCTATTTATTAATTAGCTATTGATATATATATTTTTTAATTTCCTAGGTACTAATTGCTTACCAGTTTTTATTTTAAGTTTTAACTACTAATCTATTGTCTTCTTCATGGAACCCCTGAAGACTGTTTCTGTGATTCTATTGGATGGTACTTGGTCCTCAGCTTTTTTGATACTTGAGGACTGTTTCTTTGATGTATTGGATGGGATTTGATCCCGGGCTTTCTTTATACCTGAGGAATGTTTCTGTAGTGCTAATGGCTGGGACTTGATGCTTTCTTGATACTTGGGGACTGTTTCTTTGATGTATTGGATGGGATTTGATCCTGGGCTTTCTTGATACCTGAGGACTGTTTCTGCAGTGCTAGTGGCTGGGATTTCTTGATACTTGAGGACTATTTCTGTGGTGCTAGTGGCTGAAGTTTGATCCTGGGACTTCTTGATACCTGAGGACTGTTTCTGTGGTGCTAGTGGCTGGGATTTGATTCTGGGGCCTTCTTAATAGTGTCTTTTCTGCTACCTAATGTCTAGGGTCTCCACAGTTAGGACTTTAATCAGTGAATTTATTTGAATGCTTTTTGAAGGAGGTATCCAGGTTCTTCTTACTTTTATGGAACTACATTATTAATTAGTTGGATGTAGAAGGTTTCTTTTACCTTTCTTTTTTCTTGTGTTTGTTTCATATCCCATTATTTTAATATTATTCCAATTTTTTGTATGGTTTTCTTCCATTTTATGATGGAGAAATAAGTATTACAGTCTCGTGTGTCTATTATACTGCTGATTTCTGCAGTATATTGGATTCTGTGTTCACAAGGTATGTTGTAACAGGTGTTTTTGGCTTCTGTTGATATTTAGGTGGTGTTACGTGATTGTATTGTGGCTTCTGTACTTTTATTCTTACTTTATGTTGTTCATTACCAACACAGAAATAGCCATCTTCAGGACTTTCCTGAAGACAGCAACTGATTAGCAGCCAACAATTAATATAAAAACTAGTTGGGAATTAGACTTGCTTGATTGTATAGGCAACTAACCATGACAGTGGATGATGTTTATCCTTACCTTTTTATAAGTACTTAACACTCTCGCCCCAGCTATCCTTTACTATACAGGACACAAGGTTTTAGTGTCTTACATTCAAAATTTTATTAAACTACTTTTCTTAGCTAATAGCCCATATTTTAATAGCATACAAGTTTTAAATTCTTAATTTCATATGGCAATATTTAAAAAAATCCTAAATTTCCCCAAGTGTGACTCATGTGACACATTTTCTCTAGGTGTGTTCTCATCTCTATTTATCCCCCCCCCCAAGAAACTACGAAATTAAACATAAATTACTCACTATAAAATCGTCATTGGTCATAATTTTTTCTAGCCTTCAATTTTGTTTGATTACAGAGCTATCAAGTAGAAAAAGAGACCCTTCCTGCCACACACCCCCTGTCAGGATTTGTTAATAGTTCTCTCTTATGTTGAATTATATATTACTTATAACCAATAGAAAGTCAATGTTTTTGTCTATCAAATGACGTATCGCACAACGATATGTTCTGAACACAGAAGAGTCAATTTCACTTCTAATATGACTTTGGTTCCCACTGGAATCACAATGGCTGTCTTGATACATTTGTAACGGCTCTTGTCGCATAGTTAGAAAGCCAGAAAAATTGTGATTGTTAGAGAATATTGTCTAATTTTTGCACGTTATTAATCACTGTTGTTCAGTGCATTATTTAATTAAATAAAAATTATTTAATGCACTACTACCATTAGTTTAAAAAAATAGGGTTAACTATAATTGATAGTTGAGAGCAAATAAAAGAATACTCGGGTAAGTGGTAAGTACTTTATTTCTTGTTTTTTATGTTTATTTTTTATTTATTATTATAAAAGTAACTAAAATGTAAGAATAGGGATCTCTTTAGGTTAATTAAGGTTAGATTATGTAAAATAAACAATAATAATAATATAATAAAAATGTTTCACGAGGCACGCACAAGAGCAGCTTGGAGTAGTTCGTGGGTAATGCGATTTGATAGCGTAACATGAGTTCCACATTTCCTAAGTGCTTTACAATTTATAATGGCATGAATACTAGTAGTTAGACCCGGTTCAAAGGGCAATAAAATAATAAAATTTAAGTATAAACAGATGTATACTAGTACGAGTTTAAAGCTACTTAGGATAAACGAATGTAGTTTCACACTACATTTGAGATAATTCTAGAAAGGGTAATTTAAATCTATTTCGATTTTTTTGGGAGGGAGGAGAGTATACGAGGTCAAATTGACCAACCTTCTATAGAGTTAAGGTAGAGAAAATAAAATATAAACTATAAAATTTTACTGAAAAAATACATTTGAAATGTATTGAGGAGGTTTTAGGGTTTACACAAAGGAAATTTGAGATTTTTGAAATGAGGAAAAGTATTTTTAATCTTAACACGAAAATTACTTTGCACATGGACTATTCAAAACAAATACTCAATATAGTCATGGAAAAAAACTTTATTTTATTGTATTAAAAATACTTCACTAAAAAGTGTGATTTTTTTGTATATGAAAAACTTGTAATATGAACTGAAAGACTGACAGATTTTGTGAAAATATACATACTCTATTGAGAGTTATAAGTATTAAACCTATAAAGACTTTAAACGAGTATAAAAAAACCACGTGATTGGTCAGATTGACCTAGCCCATGTGGAGAGAGTTAAAGAAGTTAAAATTGCACATAATTATTGTTGTGCCATAATAATATTTAGTTGATTAACCAACATATTTAAAATAATAAAAAAAGTGAATTACCCATTGTATTTGCAATATCACTTGAAAAAAATGGATTATCCAAGGTGTCTTAAAATAGATTATCCAAGATGCCTAAAATGTACTACTTAGAAGGTAAATTATTCAACATATGTATTTTGTAAAATGTGAAGTATTGCACTGTATATTCAGTATTTAAAGTTGTATGTGGAAATAGACCTCACCATTCTCATGGGATGGTACTTTGGAAATAGACCACCCACCCTGTTCTCATGTAGTGAATCTTTGGAAATAGACCTCCTCACTGTTCTCATAGTGTGACACTTTGAAAACAGACCTCACCATTTTCATAGGGTGACACTTTGGAAATAGACCTTTTCACTGTTCTCTTAGTGTGACACTTTGGAAACAAACCTCACCATTCTCATAGGGTGACACTTTGGAAATAGACCTCACCATTCTCATAGGGTGACACTTTGGAAATAGACCTCACCATTCTCATAGTGTGACACTTTGGAAATAGACCTCACCATTCTCATAGGGTGACACTTTGGAAATAGACCTTTTACTATTCTCATAGGGTGACACTTTGGAAATAGACCTCACCATTCTCATAGTGTGACACTTTGGAAGTAGACCTCGCCATTCTCATATGGTGACACTTTGGAAATAGACCTTTTACTATTCTCATAGGGTGACACTTTGGAAATAGACCTCACCATTCTCATAGTGTGA